ACGTAGCACAAGTATTATTATCCCCATTTTACAGAGGACGGAACTGAGGCTCAGAGATATGTGATTCGTGTATGGTTATGCTAGTTTCTGAGCCAGGACTCAAAACCAGAGCTTCTAAATCCTCGACCAGTCCACTTTCATTTCAAATACATCCCACTGTGCTTTCCCGGTCAGCTCACTGGGGACAATATCAGCTAAATGTGGCACTACTAGTATGTAGTTTCAAAAGGATAATCATTTCAAAAATCTACAGGTGTGCAGTTTTCAATTGAGGAAATCTCATAAAAAATCAGACTGTACTGGTTAAACTAGCCTGAGGAAGTCCAAATGTTAATTTACCATAGATCCTTAATAAGATGCGATGGCAATTTGTACTATATGATGATTTAATATCTTTGAGGATATGACATTTTCATATTTCCAACTGCTATTTTTCTATTTTATTTCTTGCCTATTTATTTACTTATCTTTAAGGTGCAATGATCTCTGATGACTCAAAATGTGTTTTCATGCCATGAGATTTTGACCACCAGAGGTCCCTGCTTCACTGTTTTTCTAACCTCAGCCTCAGGTTTCCTAAATCTCTTGTTTTTGTACACCATCTAGTGGGTTTCCCAGCTATTGAAGGCTGAATGTGATTTCTTTGGAAAGGTATTAAAACAAACAATTATGGTTGCATCCTTCTTGCCAATAAAACACATTATTGACCACAGAGCACTCCTAGAAGTTTTTCCTTCTAAAATTAAAATCTCAGGCAATTATGTAATCCTTAGTTCTATCACTTAGGTTGATGGGTTAAGAGCAAGAAAACAAGTAGCATACACTGGGAATAGGAAAAAGGTTTAAATGAATGTTCTAAATCGTTTTTTCCTTTTATAAAGGGGAAATATGCACAAATCAGACTAGAAAATATTGTTAACGTACCACCTGCAGAAAACATACATGGTATTTCCCACTATATACAGGCCATCAGGGATAGTTAAAGGAGTTAAAAACAACGTGGCCAAATCATAAGATTACTTGCTATGCCCTATGTCTGTGAAATATGATTTATTGTTTTTAAATATAAAAGAACTGCAATCTCTTTGTAACTTTTTTTGTTAATTCAAAATTCCCCAGCAAAAATCTATTTTTAAAAAGCTTCCTTTTCCCATTCCTACCAACATGTTTGATTCACCATAAACTTGAAAGCCTGCCCAAATAAACAGGAAACTGATGAGGTACTGATAATACACCATGAGATCAAGTGCTGAAATGTTAAAATGTTTGAAAAATGTGATTTAAAAAAAAGAAAGGCTCCTATTAAAAGATGCTCGCCTCAAGTAACATGCATGACTTTCATAATTCATTTCAACATAATCTGAAACTAGGCCATTAATTACTATTGATCAAAGATAAGTAATTTGTTCAAATTGCCTTAAGCAAAGGTAAGGCCTAAGAAGATATTTAATAAATTTAATATAAACTAGCACTTATACCAATAAATAGCAAATGATGTCATTGACATCTTGAACATTTGAACTCAGGGACTTCACAAAGTTAGTTTTAGTCATATAGAATTGAAACTGAATGACTGCTATGCCCGAAACTTTGTACTTAATCCTAGAGAGCCCTCGTGGGTTCCCTAAGGGCAAGTCATATTAAACTAATTTCATTTCCATTCTTTATAAGGTCACTGGATTGAGATCAGAAGAATGCACATTACTGATTATGTATTCAATATATATTCATTTAATGAAGGAAAGAAGGAAGAAATGATGTGGCATACCTTGATTTCAGCAAGGCATTTTGCAAAGTCTCCTATCTTTTTACAAAAGAAAGAGATATACTGGTGCATAATGATATAGTAGATAAATTTGCAAATGATTGAAACACTTTACCTAAAGTATATTTTGGGGGATAGTGGACTATATATTAAATCAGAGACCTGCGTTCAAGTTTTACTTCTGACAAGATTAATTATGTGAGATTTTATTTTTATTTTGGTTGGCCTATGATTTCATTGGTACAAGGAACTCTAGATGATGAAACTCTCTCCATCATTGTAGATTAGCAATTGTTTCACAACTTAGAGTCTTAAAATGCTGTTAGAGGTCCTTGAAAGGATAGGTGAATTCCCCAGGGTCATACAGCCAGTATGTGAATCAAGGTTTCCTTTTTCTGGGGACCAGCACCTCAAGTGCTACCCCTATAATGCCTCCAAATCTTTCTATTAAATTTCTTTAATTCTCAGTTTTCTCATTTGGGAATTAACCAGCGGAAATCATACAGTGGGAGTTGAAGTTTTACAGCTGGAATACAGCCTCTTGACTTGAAGCTGTCAGGTTCAGGAATACCAAGATATGAAAAAGATGCAGAGTGCATGATTCCTGAAGTGGGTAAAATAGAGTCCAAGGCTTTTTGTCCTAGGTGAAAGTAAGTCATTGGAGTCACTGACTTTGCTTACTGGTAAGGAGGGTGGGTTCCATTATTTCCTACAATGTATAGAAAATGCATCCTACAACGCATAGACAAATCACTCTGTGGCAGTGGAGTAGTGGGTGGTGAACGGAGAGCAGGTCATGCCCAGTTCAGGGAGAAAGTGTCTAGACCATGCCAGTAATGTCCACCCTTCCTTTTTTTTTTCACATTTAACCTAACAAGCTGCAAAGCCTGATTCTACAAAGTAGCAAAATGGAGGAAGGAATGTAGTATAAAGGCAGGTAAGCTCCTTTTGAGATGCACTGTTTCATTTTTGTTCTTGTATCCTCCAGGCTTAGCACAGTGCCAGACACAAAGTAGGTGCTTAATAAATGTTTGCAAATTGATTAGAGATAGTATATTTTCAGACTGATTTCTAATGTCTCCTTCTTTTGCCCTCTAGATTCTAGACAAATTGGCCTATTTGCTTTCTCTTACATATGGCATTTCAGCTCCCAACTTTCTGTACAAACTGCCCCTTATTCCCAGGATATTTTCCCTCTTCATTTATTTCTCAAAGAATACCTACCTTCCTTCAAAGCTCAGCTCTCACCTGCCACCTTCAACATGAGTGCTTTCCTGATGGTTCCAAAATAACTTTGCAAATATGTTATATTTAATTATCCATATGGATTTTATTTCCCCTCAAATAGTTAAACTCCCTGGGGACAGAGGGCTCTTATTTTTATTTTTTTATCTCTAGAACCTAGGCTAATACCTGGTCTACAGTGACTGTTAATAAGTACTTGTTGAATTATATTAAATACTATCTACTAAGGTGGTAAGGATCAACTTAGATATTGTGTATAAAATACTTTCCATTACAGTATTGAATAAAATTGAGACACTATTACTGTTATTGACGCCAGTCCTAAAGTAGGTGCTTAGTAGCTTGTTGCTGAGGTTGACCCTTGACATTTTCCTAAATAGCATTTTTATTAACAGTTTGGATGAGGATAAAGAAGGTATGATTGTCAAATCTGCTGGTGATGTAAACCTGGTATGGATAACTAATATTGTGGATGACAAAAATGTAAGTCAAAACAATTTCTATAACTCAGATTCATAGACCCAAACCACTGCAGACCTCAACAAAACCTTTTCAAACTGGGCAGAAGTGAATTAATTATTTTCTTTTCTCATGGACTAGCCCATTTGGTATTAGGCTCTGTACAAAGTGCACATGTGTAAAAAAAAGTAAAATATGGGAAACTTTTCTCTGTAGAAAGTATGAATTCACTGAATTGTGAAACTTGCCCTTGCTAGATAGAACACACTCAAAACTATACATTTCTCATTGCCCAGTGACATTTATGTAAGTTCACATCATCTGTTTTAGCTTATAAAAGAGATTCTGGGGGATGGGTAAGGAATAAAACCTGCTTGTTTTCCCTGAATGTTATATACCTTGTACATCTGGTAACAATAAATAGTATTTGAGGGTATGTTTCATCTATTCAGAGTCAAGGATAATAACCAAAGAGGAAACTGCTATCTCTTGGCTCCAAAACTAATGACTAGGATTTAACTGATCAACAACTTTAGAATATAATCTCATTACCATATGCCTAGATTCACGAAGTATACCTTTAGTGGATCATAGACTTAGAATTAGAAGCTATATTAGAAATCATTTAGTATAATCTCTGCTTTTTAAATAGGAAGGAACTGGGGGTCCCAAAAGGTTAAGTGACTTGTTCACAATGACAGAGCTTGCATAGGCAGAGCTAGGATTCAAATTCAAATCCACTAACTCAAATCCAACACTGTTTTTATTACATCACATAAAGACAAAATGGAAATGCATATATGGGTAGGGAGGTAGGGAGGATAAAATGCAGGAGAGATCTTAGCAGTCAACCTAATAGGGACTAAGTAAACACAAAGATAAGGACCAAAGGACCTAAGACATAAAAGAGAAAAAAAAAGTGAGGAAAAGGAAAACAATGTCAGTAAAGCAGAATTCTGGGAAAATATGAAGAAAAATTATGGAAGCCTTTGTGACTATTGCCAATTCACCGTACTCTCAATGTATCATTTGCTTAGGCTACGAAATGAGGATACTTATTCCTGTTCATCTGCATGGCAGAGCTACTGTGAGAGTCTCACATGAAGGTACATTTAAATTAGTAACAATATAAGGTGTTTTTTTTTAAGTTGGGAGGGGACAAAAGGGTGGTTCAATGTGGATGATGCTTACAGATAATTTATTTTCAATATATACTGATTAATGCTGATATAATCCTGACAAACTTCATAATAATTAATTGGCAAAAAAAAAAAGAAATTCAGGTCATTTTTTGAGTTTGTTCTAAATGCTCTTAAGAAATGCTTCATTAGTTCTCCAAATCTGCTTAAAAACTGAAGCATTTTCTCAACACAGAGAAGGAATGACTAAAACAGATTTAACTGCATCATTAGCGTGAGTATATTGTATCATCATTGCACATAAACTTCTAGTCTCAGATTCTGCCATGCCTGTCCTTGTTTGTGCTAATTCCAAAAACAATTCCTGTGTGTGACTCCCATTAGGTTCTGACCTGTGTGCGTCCTCCGATGGGCCTTCAAGTGAGAACTCTTCGTATACACTTTGTTGCATCCCTCAAAATCGCATCTGTGGATACGCCGTTTCCTGGAGTCTGGAGACTCAGACCGTCTCTGGCGTCTTGTGCTCTCAATACTGAAGGGTGAAATTGAACTGGAAGACAGAAATGAGGTAGTGAAAAATTGTGAAAAATTGTCACAACAATCTAACACTGTGACCGCTTCAGCTCATCATCTGTGAAGGTGGCATACAGACTAGAGGTCCGTGTTCCTTTAATTTCCAAGGTCAGTTGACTGCACATTCTTCTTCTTCAAGATATATCATAGGAACTCTCCAATGAGGAGAAGATTTGGAACTCAAAATCTTGTGCAAGTGAATGTGGAAAACTAAAAATCAATTAATTAATTAACTTAAAAAATTGGGGGAAAAAAATAGGAACTCTCCAAAGGAGAAAGTTGTACACTGAACATACTGATTACTCTCATTAGAAAGGTGGGTATGATGTGGGGAAAAGCACACTGACTATGGAGTCCACCTCTGATGCTTCCTTACCTATGTGGTCTGGGTCAAGTTATGTAACCCTCCTGGGCCTCAGTTTCCTTATCTAAAAAAGTTGGATTTGATGGCCTCAGTCCCTTCCAATTCTACAGCCATGACCCAATATGTTCCAATATCTTTTCAACAAACCAAATATAACCTGAACCAAAATAGAATGTAAATGGGAAATGCTTAACAAAATAAATAAAAACACAACAAAACATAGATAATAACACATTTTACTTAGCTGTAAAGTCAACAGACATTTGGTAGGGATCCAACAGAGGAGTGGCCCCTGTTTCTATTAGGGTTTGACACCACTGCTCTATATTATTTTAATAAAGTCTAGTAAGTAGCAGAATGAACTGGATAAATATTAATTATGATGATAAAAAAAATTCATGGCTGTTTGATTTATACATTTGTGTTTTTTATCATTTTAACATGTTTCCAGAAACCTTTCTAGCTTTACACATGCTGGAGAAGATAACAACATGGCTACATATAATAGGTAACACACAGATGTGAAATACACGTGATGAGTCCAGTCAAAAAGCTTTTATTAAGAGTTCACCATGTGCTAAATGCTGAGGACAGAAAGAAAGTCAAGAACAACCCCTGCCCCCAAGGAATTCACATTTTAACTGCAAGGCAACATGCCAACAATTTTGTATGTACAAGGTCTATGCAGGACAAACTAAAGCTAATGGAGATGGAGGTAAAGAAAACGTACAAGAAAGTTTAAACATAAATACAAACTTCAAAGCAAGTTAGGTCAGCCTGTAGGAAACTTCCTTAGTACATTAATATTGTGACTCATGAGACAAGCTATTTCTATTATGAAAAAACAATAACAACAACAAAACCTACTTGACATTTAATTTTTCAAGTCAGTGGTGAAGAGTACAGTACATTTTGTTTAAAGATTATCTGTACTATTTTCAGGGGGGGAAACAGCAAAAACTATGAAATACAAGCCTGAATTGAAGGCTGTTTAGTTTTAATGCATCAGCAGAAAAACAGGATTAGGTTGTAATGCCAGATAATTGATTAACATATACTGTTCCAAATCCTAGGCTGATCTGATTGAGATGTAAATGTGGAAGATGCCTCTCCTCCCTCCCTTCCTCTTTCTCTCTCTCTCTCTGTCCATCTGAGTCTGTCTCCTTGTATGACTGTATCTTTAAAGGGTTGGAAAAAAGAACTGATATTCAATAAATTCAGCCTACTAGACTATTGGGAAAACTGACAGAATAGTTGGAACGAGGAAGAAATATCTGACCTATGATTTAGGAGCAGCTATGTAGTTGTTTTAAAAAGAAGGGTGATGAAAACTCAGCATTTACCTTGAGGATTTGCGAGTGGTATTTTATCCTCTGTTCAAATTGTGGGTAGTCAAACTTTGTTCTTAAGGGCTCTCTCAGTAATATCACATTATATACAATGTCACGCTCAATATATATACCACCAACTAAGACTTTAATGCTTCTGTTTTCTTTAGGAATGGAAAAAAAAGCAGTAGCCAATTTTTTTGTATTGGAAGTAAAGGAGGAAAAAACAAACAAAAAACCACTTATTTAACTTGTCTCTGATCAGTTCAGCTCAAGATTTTGCCTGTGAAAGGAAGGGACCATGGCATAGCCAACCCATTAATATTAACTTGGGAGTCAAACAACACAGATTGCCACACAACTGATTTATCTACTGATAATGGGCATCTATTATAAGAACTAAATAGACAGTTCAATTTGCCTGCTCCATCTAGTATTGCTTCAGGCTTTCCTCATGACACATTTCAGCACTGGGATGTAAATCAGTCAGTCAATAAACATTTATCGAGTGCACACTGTGTACTAGGCACTATGATAAGAGCTGGGGATACAAAGGAAGGCAAAAGAATTCCTAGTCTGGAGCTCACAGTCTAAGGGGGGAGACATGTAAACAACTATGTACAAACAAGTTATCTATTTATCTCTCTCTGTGTATGTATCTGTACGTACACACACACACACACACACACCCCCACCCGATGTCTGCATGCACAGACATCTATACATATACACACACACTCACACCCTCTCTCACAAAACAGACGGAAGCCACTAGAATTAATAAGTAACCTACACAGGTAAAACATAAATTAATTCAAACCAAAGACCAGAGATTTAGAGTTGGAACAGACATCTTGTCCAATCTTCTCATTTTACAGATAAAAAAACTGAATGTAAAAACAAAAACACGAGTTTGTGTAAGGAAATACAGGTAACAGCGGAAGGGCCCAATTTCAAACTCAAGTCTTCTGGATACAGCTCTCTCTCCAAGGGAGACACAAAAACAAAACAGTCCCCCTTTAGGGAGCTTACCTAGGGTGACAGACACAACACGTATACAAGTTAAGTAAATACAAATGACTATAAAGTCATTCCAAGACGGAGAGAGTGCTGGCTGTTGGAATAAGAAAGTCTCCAGTAGGAAGAGACACACCTGAGTTGTGTTTGGAGGAAGACAGGTAGATTAGGAGGTGCAGGTGAAGAAGGAATGCATTCCCGACAAGCACAAATTGAAATCTTCCAGTTTTCCTTGGCATTTCTATACCACGGTACAATGTCACTCATTTACTTATTTAACTATCATTTATTATGTATCTAATATGACAGAAATGAATTCATTATTTTTGTCTTCAGCCATAAAAAAAAGGATGGCCCATATGCTCTGCTGCTAAAAAGAAACAAAAGTTATTATTTTGTCTTTGTTTTGCCACCTTAAAAGTGGAGGAAATTATATTACCTTGCTTGTTTCTTCATTGTTGATTATGTGACTACTGAGTTATTTTGCACGATGCTTTGAGGTCCTCAGGTGATAAAATTATAATTAAAATGGAAATAACTTGCTTTTTTTTCAAATACGTATTTCAGTCACAAAATTTTAGAGACCATCCAAAACAAAACAAAAATCCCATACACAAAAAAAAAATCACTAAACTCTATAGCTATGTCAAAAGTTTCCCAAAACTTTGGCTGTTTAATTAATGTTGAATTCTAAACTGATCTTCAAATCATTTCTATACATTACCACATCCCTCATACCACATTTAGACACACACACACACACACATACGTGTGTGTGTGTGTGTGTGAATACATATTACTAGAAATCAGGGTATTTCTGCCTGCAGTCCATTTTTGAAAGTTATCTTCCAGTATATTTGTGCAAACTGAGAAAAACTGGAAAAAAAAAAGTATGAAACCAAAACCAAGTAACAAGAATACAGTCCCCATAAACCTAACAGAATGGTCTAATAGCCACACAGTTCAACCACTTAACTATATGGCAGGAACAGAAACAATTCCCTTTAGTTAGAGGAAGATTATTTCACTAATAGTTTGGCCTCTACATAATGTTAGAGGAAGACAAGAGCAATGGATGAGCTTCAATTTACACACAGGTTATTTAAACTGTTGTTTTTTTAATATGGAAGACTTATGAAAATCTATTCAATGGGTCTGTGATCTCATTGGCATATATACTCCCTCCAATAAATGAGATCACAACCCTAAAATTATATACAACCTCCTATGTATGACTCCTATGTAAATGACTCTCTTAAAAATAGATTTTCATTAAACTTATACACTTCACCTTCAGCTGAACAAATACAACATTTACTTAGTGGTTACTATATGCTCCCCAAATGCCAATTTTAAATGTGAGAAAAATACTATCAAGAAATACTCAGGGGTTTTTTCCCCCCTGCCTCTCACAGATACAATTCTCATCTCTGCAGGAAGAGACAGGCAGTGATGTCAAGAGGACATTAAACTGGGTTGGAACAGAAAGGATGGAAAAATGCAATCCCTATTCCAAATAATGTAGCTATCTGTCCTCAGCCTTGGTTTCTTCTTTTCAGTTCTATATTCCAGCATATGTCAGGCACATATAGGGGTAACCCCAAGTACCAGCACCATGGTTTCAGCCACAGTCTAGCTAGTAATTCTCTACGTGGCATGTACACCATGAAAGTGTTTTCTGTTTTGGTTTATTAAGACCACCTGGGTTCTGATCTGGTGAAAACGGTGAAACAAGGGATTCTGAATTCCCTAAGTGCTAGGCTTCAGATAAAGTGTACTTATTACTTTGTAGATGGTCTGTTTCATCAGTTCCCTAAGTTTGAAATCAACATGATGAGTTGTTATACATAATGAAGAACTTTCATTCATCTGCTTGTTCATAAATTCATTTTATTAAGGGGCTAGTATATGGATTTAATAAACTGTGCATACTTAATATGCTTAATACGTAGTATACTCTCCCAGGCACTGCGGATCCAAAACCAAAAATAAACAAACAAAATCCCTGGCCTCAAGCGACTTACAATCTTTTTGGGTGGAAACAACATGCAGACAGATTAAAAACTATATTTACAAAGTAATTAAAGTCTGGGCAGAGAAGGGCACAAAAAATTGGGGTGGGGGGTCATGAAAGGGTCTTTTAGGAAAGCCATCTTATATGACCCTTGAGGGAAGCTAAGGATTCTATGAGGCAGAGTGAAAAAGGAAATGCATTCTAGGAAGTGGAGATAAAATTTTGGGAGAAGAGGGATGGAATGCTGTACTTGA